GCTTCTCAGCTGTTCCATGGCCAGGTGTGTGTTATTCCCTCATTATTCCAATTACAATGAGCAGATAAAAGGTCCAGAGTTCATTTCAAGTGTGCTATTTGCATTTGGAATCTGTTGCTGTCAACTCTCAAGATGAGATCCAAAGAGCTGTCACTATCAGTGAAGCCATCATTAGGCTGAAAAAACGAAACAAACCCATCAGAGAGATAGCAAAAACAATAGGCGTGGCCAAAACAACTGTTTGGAACATTCTTAAAAAGAAGGAACGCACCGGTGAGCTCAGCAACACCAAAAGACCCGGAAGACCACGGAAAACAACTGTGGTGGATGACCGAAGAATTCTTTCCCTGGTGAAGAAAACACCCTTCACAACAGTTGGCCAGATCAAGAACACTCTCCAGGAGGTAGGTGTATGTGTGTCAAAGTCACCAATCAAGAGAAGACTTCACCAGAGTGAATACAGAGGGTTCACCACAAGATGGAAACCATTGGTGAGCCTCAAAAACAGGAAGGCCAGATTAGAGTTTGCCAAACGACATGTAAAAAAGCCTTCACAGTTCTGGAACAACATCCTATGGACAGATGAGACCGACATCAACTTGTACCAGAGTGATGGGAAGAGAAGAGTATGGAGAAGGAACTGCTCATGGTCCTCAGCATACCACCTCATCAGTGATCATGGTGGTGGTAGTGTCATGGCGTGGGCATGTATGGCTGCCAATGGAACTGCTTCTCTTGTATTTATTGATGATGTGACTGCTGACAGAAGCAGCCGGATGAATTGTGAAGTGTTTCGGGAATATTATCGGCTCATATTCAGCCAAATGCTTCACAACTCATTGGACGCTTCACAGTGCAGATGGACAATGACCCAAAGCAGACTGCAAAAGCAACCAAAGAGTTTTTTAAGGGAAAGAAGTGGAATGTTCTGCAATGGCCAAGTCCATCACCTGACCTGAATCCGATTGAGCATTTCACTTGCTGAAGACAAAACTGAAGGGAAAATGCCCCAAGAACAAGCAGGAACTGAAGACAGTTGCAGTAGAGGCCTGGCAGAGCATCACCAGGGATGACACCCAGCGTCTGGTGATGTCTATGCGTTCCACACTTCAGGCTGTCATTGACTGCAAAGGATTTGCAACCAAGTATTAAAAAGTGAAAGTTTGATTTATGATTATTATTCTGTCCCATTACTTTTGGTCCCTTAACAAGTGGGAGGCACATATGCAAACTGTTGTAATTCCTACATCGTTCACCTGATTTGGATGTAAATACCCTCAAATTAAAGCTGACAGTCTGCAGTTAAAGCACATCTTGTTCGTTTCATTTCAAATCCATTGTGGTGGTGTATAGAACCAAAAATGTTAGAATTGTGTCCATGTCCCAATATTTATGGACCTGACTGTAATTTTTTATTTTCACACATTATTTGGAGCGCGGTTTATGTTCAGTGAAGTGGAATATATATACATGTTATTTGTTTCATATGTGTATATATATTCCACTCGGGGATATACTGTTTGAAGTGTAATAATGTATTAGATAATAACTACATGATTTAAACAAAATATGTTTTATTATTATTATTATTATTATTATTATTATTATTAATAATAATACCATCTAATAAAGAATAACAATGTAATAGAAGACTTTAGAACTGAGCAAACACATTGTGGAAGCCATAGATCATCCTCTTGATCAGGACTATACATAAGAGTGAATAAATCGATATCATTATAAAAATTTCACACTGTGGGCATACATTATATAAGATGAATAAAAAATGACCGGTACATAAAATAACTGCTTTCAGTGACTCAAAATACATGATTAAAAATTAAAGGGGAACTCAACAGTATCTGAGCACCACCAGCTGAAAACACTATTTAATTAATTTTTAAAATTCAAAGCAAACTCCCTCATCCATCCATGTCTCCATACTTTATTTTATTGAGAAGTCACTTTAAAAAAACACCCCCCTTAGTGTTTCTAGCTGCAGCCATCTTGAGTAAGGGCAGATTATTCATGTAGCATTTACTTCCTGGAATCCATCTGCCCTTAACTCAGGCATGTAGACAGGAGGGTGTGCTTAGCTGAGAAAGCCCCTCCTCCTCCTGGTATGTGTGACATCATTTTGGCCTGGGACAGAAACCAGGAAGACACCGAATAAAAGTAAAAAAAAAAAAAAGTTTCAAACAAGTAAATATAATATCTATTTGCTAATGTTAGCCGCATAAGGATTACAAATAGTCCACACTGACGCAGAGAGCGAAGTTCCACCGAAAACTATGTAAAAAAAAATGAAGTTAAGAATCTTGATTAGAGAAAATGAAGAAAATTGTAAAACTCCTGAAAAAAAATAATTGAGATATCTAGTAATAATTATTACACGGTGATGCCAAAAATCTCGTGAGCTTCATATAATGATTAAAAAACAACTTTTTCTTTCCTTTTTATTTTATAATGATACTTTTTATACCAGTCTTTTTTTTCTCCCTTTCTTTTATCCCTGCAATAGTTACATTAAAATCATATGTACACAAGAATGGGAGGGGCCAAATTAAGCAAAGAACCCACAGCCTTACTACCCTAACAGCAAAGAATCCACAATTTTTTTACCCTAACAGCAAAGACTCCACCGTCTGACTCCCCTTGCAGCAAAGAATCCACAGCCTTACTACCCTAACAGCAAAGAATCCACAATTTTACTACCCTAACAGCAAAGACTCCACTGTCTGACTCCCCTTACAGCAAAGAATCCACAGCCTTACTACCCTAACACCAAAGAATCCACAATTTTACTACCCTAACAGCAAAGACTCCACTGTCTGACTCCCCGTAAAGCCAAGAATCCACAGCCTTACTACCCTAACAGCATATAATCCACTGTCTGACTCCCCTTACAGCAAAGAATCCACAGCCTTACTACCCTAACAGCAAAGACTCCACTGTCTGACTTCCCTTACAGCAAAGAATCCACAGCCTTACTACCCTAACAGCAAAGAATCCACAATTTATCTACCCTAACAGCAAAGACTCCACTGTCTGACTCCCCTTACAGCAAAGAATCCACAGCCTTACTACCCTAACAGCAAAGACTCCACCGTCTGACTCCCCTTACAGCAAAGAATCCACAGCCTTACTACCCTAACACCAAAGAATCCACAATTTTACTACCCTAACAGCAAAGACTCCACTGTCTGACTCCCCGTAAAGCCAAGAATCCACAGCCTTACTACCCTAACAGCAAATAATCCACTGTCTGACTCCCCTTACAGCAAAGAGTCCACAGCCTTACTACCCTAACAGCAAAGACTCCACTGTCTGACTTCCCTTACAGCAAAGAATCCACAGCCTTACTACCCTAACAGCAAAGAATCCACAATTTTTCTACCCTAACAGCAAAGACTCCACCGTCTGACTCCCCTTACAGCAAAGAATCCACAGCCTTACTACCCTAACAGCAAAGACTCCACCGTCTGACTCCCCTTACAGCAAAGAATCCACAGCCTTACTACCCTAACAGCAAAGAATCCACTGTCTGACTTCCCTTACAGCAAAGAATCCACAGCCTTACTACCCTAACAGCAAAGAATCCACAGCCTTACTACCCTAACAGCAAAGAATCCGCAATTTTACTACCCTAACAGCAAAGACGCCACTGTCTGACTCCCCTTACAGCAAAGAATCCACAGCCTTACTAATCAACTACAACAACAAACAACATCAACACACAGCAAAAACATCAACAACAAACTCACATCAACAACCCAACTCAACAACAACACAACACACAACCAACATCAACAACCATCAACCACCACAACATCAGCAAATAGCATCAACAACAACATCAGCAATAGCATCAACAGCAGCAACAATATCAACATCAACAACAAAACAACAACAACCAACACAACAACACCAAGAGCAACAAACTCAACATCAACTACAACAACATTAACAACATCAACAACAGCAAGAGCAACATCAACAACACAACAACAAAACATCAAAAACAAAATCAACAACAGCAAGAGCAACAAACTCAACAACAACAAACATCACCCATCAACAACAAACACAACATCAACAACAAACTCAACATCAACAACCCCCCCACAACAACAACATCAACATCAACAACAGCAACAGCAAAAACCCAACAAACCACAACAACCCCCCACCCCACATACAAACCACCAACAACAACACAAAACACAAAACTCAACATCAACAACAACATCAGCAATAGCAGCAACAAAATCAACATCAACAACAACATCAACAATAGCATCAACAACAGCAACAATATCAACATCAACAACAGCAACAACAACAATATCAACATCAACAACAGCAACAACAAATCAACATCAACAAACAAACATCAACAATAGCAACACAACAACAACAACAAACAAACAATATCAACAACAACAACAGCAACAAGAATATCAACATCAACAACAACAACAATATCAACATCAACAACAACAACAGCAACAACAATATCAACAAACAACAATATCAACAACAACAAATTATCCATCAATAACAACATCAACAACAACATCAACATCAAGGACAACATCAATAACAATATCAACATCAACAACAACAATATCAACATCACCAACATCAACAATAACAACAAAACTTGCCATAACTTCCTCAACTAGAAAACAGATTACGAGCGGCATATGGCCGCCGATGCAAACGCCGTTTTGTCCGCGTATTGTTTTCTGGAATGGAAATACAAAAGAATTACAAAACATTTGTTACATGTGAAGACGATGCGTATAGGACGGCGGAGAAACATAGACTGGGAGGACATACCCTTTCACAATAAATTCTTCCTCCAGCACCCCCTTCAGTGTTGCACAGGTGTATTGGCTCCTCCCCTTCAGTGTTGCACAGGTGTATTGGCTCCTCCCCTTCAGTCTTGCATAGGTGTACTGATTCCGCCCTGTCAGTCTTGCACAGGTGTACCGGCTCCTCCCCTTCAGTCTTGCACAGGTATACTGGCTCCTCCCCTTCAGTCTTGCACAGATGTACTGGCTCCTCCCCTTCAGTCTTGCACAGGTGTGGCGGCCCGTCCTCTTTCAGTCTTGCACAGGTGTGGCGGCTCCTCCCCTTCAGTCTTGCACAGGTGTGGCGGCTCCTCCCCTTCAGTCTTGCAGAGGTGTACCAGCCCCTCCTCTTCAGTCTTGCACAGGTGTACCGGCTCCTCCCCTTCAGTCTTGCACATGTGTACCGGCTCCTCCCCTTCACTCTTGCACAGTTGTACCGGCACCTCCCCTTCAGTCTTGCACAGGCTTTACCGGCTCCTCCCCTCCAGTCTTGCACAGTTGTACCTGCTCCTCCCCTTCAGTCTTGCACAGGTGTACCGGCTCCTCCCCTTCAGTCTTGCACAGGTGTACCGGCACCTACCCTTCAGTCTTGCACAGTTGTACCTGATCCTCCCCTTCAGTCTTGCACAGGTGTACCTGCTCCTCCCCTTCAGTCTTGCACAGGTGTACCGGCTCCTCCCCTTCAGTCTTGCACAGGTGTTCTGGATCCTCCCCTTTGGTCTTGCACAGGTGTACTGGCCCCTCCCCTTTGATCTTGCACAGGTGTCAGATTGCCCACCACACTAACAAAGTCCCACTACAGATTGCTGATCACAGCCTTGAGGCTCCATTCATACTTGTGCAACTTCAAAATCGTGTGATTTTTTCCTTGTGTCTTTACAGTGTGACTTGATGCAACTTCGGAGCGACTTTGATGAGACTTTGCAGATACATTTAGGTGACTTTGGATGAATGCAATTTTGGCTTTGACTAAGGACAATTATTTGTGCACAGTTACACACAAGTCACATGTATGACATTCAGGTATGACTTTCCAGGGACTTCGGAGGGTTTACATTGAAGTCTATGGCCCTCAAGTCGCATGAAAGTCGGACCGCTGCAGTTCTGGAATTACTTTCAAGTCCTTGCAACTTGAAGTTGCACAGATATGATTGGTACTGGGAAACATGGGGTGTGACTTGTCATACAAATATATATATATATATATTCTCTCAGAAGTGAGTCCCCCCCTCCCCCGGACTGCATACAATGTGTATATATATATATTTATATATACAGTATTCCCCAGAAGTGAGTCCCCCCCTCCCCCGGACTGCATACAATGGTGTATATATATATATATTTATATATACAGTATCTCCCAGAAGTGAGTCCCCCCTCACATTTGTGTCAATATTTGATTCTCTCTTTTCATGTGACAACACTGAAGAAATGACACTTTGCTACAATGTGACGTAGTCAGTGTACAGCTTGTATAACATGGAAATTTGCTGTCCCCTCAAAATAACTCAACAAACCGCCATTCATGTCTAAACCGCTGGCACCAAAAGTGACTCCACCCCTAAGTGACAAGGTCCAAATTGGGCCCAATCAGCCATTTTCCCTCCCCGGGGGTCATGTGACTCCTTAGTGTTATAAGGTCTCAGGTGTGAATGGGGAGCAGGTGTGTTACATTTGGTGTTATCGCTCTCACTCACTCTTACCGGTCACTGGAAGTTCAGCATGGCACCTCATGGCAAAGAACTCTCTGAGGATATGAAAAAAAGAATTGTTGCTCTACATAAAGATGGCCGAGGCTATAAGAAGATTGCCAAGATCCTGAAACTGAGCTGCAGCACGGAGGCCAAGACCATACATCGGTTTAACAGGACAGGCTCCACTCAGAACAGGCCTCGCCATGGTCCACCAAAGTAGCTGAGTGCACGTGCCCAGCGTCATATCCAGAGGTGGTCTTTGGGAAATAGACGTATGAGTGCTGCCAGCATTGCTGCAGAGGGTGTAGGGGTGGGGGGGGGGGGGGGGGGGTCAGCCTGTCAGTGCTCAGACCATACGCCACACACTGCATCAAATTGGTCTGCATGGCTGTCGTCCCAGAAGGAAGCCTCTTCTAAAGATGATGACCAAGAAAGCCACAAACAGTTTGCTGAAGACAAGCAGATGAAGGACATGGATTACTGGAACCGTCTCCTGTGGACTGATGACACCAAGATTGGGTTCAGATGGTGTCAGGCGTGTGTGGGTGGCAACCAGGTGAGGAGTACAAAGACAAGTGTGTCTTGCCTACATTCAAGCATGGTGGTGGGAGTGTCATGGTCTGGGGCCCCATGGTGGTGGAGTGTCATGGTCTGGGGCCCCATGGTGGTGGGAGTGTCATGGTCTGGGGCCCCATGGTGGTGGGAGTATCATGGTCTGGGGCTGCATGAGTGCTGCCAGCACTGGGGGGGCTACAGTTCATTGAGGGAACCATGAATGCCAACATGTACTGTGACATACTGAAGCAGAGTATAATCCACTCCCTTCAGAGACTGGGCCGCAGGGCAGTATTCCAACATGATAACGACCCCAAACACACCTCCAAGACCACCACTGTCTTGCTAATGAAGCTGAGGGTAAAGGTGATGGACTGGCCAAGCGTGTCTCCAGACCTAAACCCTATTGAGCATCTGTGGGGCATCCTCAAACAGAAGATGAAGGAGCGCAAGGTCTCTAACGTCCACCAGCTCCGTGATGACGTCATGGAGGAGTGGAAGAGGACTCCAGTGGCAACCTGTGAAGCTCTGGTGACCTCCATGCCCAAGAGGGTTAAGGCAGTGCTGGAAAATAGGCGGCGGCACACAAATATTGACACTTTGGGCCCAATTTGGACCTTGTCACTTAGGGGTGGACTCACTTTTGTTACCAGCGGTTTAGACATTAATGGCGGTGTGTTGAGTTATTTTGAGGGGACAGCAAATTTACATGTTATACAAGCTGTACACTGACTACGTCACATTGTAGCAAAGTGTCATTTCTTCAGTGTTGTCACATGAAAAAGAGAGAATCATATATTGACACAAATGTGAGGGGGGGGACCCACTTCTGGGGAATACTGTATAACTGTATATATATATATATATATTGTATACAGTCCAGGGGAGGGGGGGACTCACTTCTGGGAAATACTGTGTGGTGTGTGTATACATATATATATACATTGTATACAGTCCGGGGGATACTGTATATATTCAAAATGTTCAGTCTTTCTTCCTTTATATCGCAAAAAAACAAACACCCCATGGTGATCAGATACTGCCAAAAGAAAGTTCTATTTGTGGGCATATAAATTTCATTTGGCCACAGCGTCGCATGACCACGCAATTGCCAGTTAAAGTAGTGCAGTGCTGAATAGCAAAAAAAAACCCTAATAAAACCCTTCCGGAGCTGAAGGGGTTAAGTTTGGCTCCCCGTTTGCTTTACTTTTTCTGAGGCCGGTTTAATTTTCCTCGACCGTCTGAAAACGCGTAGGGTGGCTTGAAATGGCACTGCGATAGAAAGAATGGTAATGTGGCATTTCTGTCATTACAGCAAAGTGGCAATTACTTTACAGCTGGTAATGAAGTTGATTTAATAAAACAAAATGAAAGAGTCCACTTGGAAACAGAACCCATAAAGAGTTTTTAAAGGTCGCTGTAAGGTTCGCGCTTTGCGTTTATCTTTACAGATTATCTGATTATAGAAAATATCTTCTGCTTTATAGCTGAGAGTTTAGAGAACAGAAGAATCTCCGTGACTGCTATTTACAGCGGGAGTGCGAGGGTATCGCAGCCCACCACCGCACTTCTGGAACGTCACTCCCCATGCTGTGCTGTATATTACACATCGCTCCAGTCTGTACACTCAGCTAGGCATTATATACTTTGCACTGGGCTGTATGTTCAATACTTCACACTGCTGTACTCTGCACACTGTGCTGTACATTAAATACCCCCCCCCCACACACACACACACCCCTTTCCCATATACTATGCTGTGACTTTCATGCACATGCCTCCATTATTTTGTGCATAGGGCTTTAGGTTAAATGATCACATGGTGCACTGTATGTTATGTACCCTACTCTGCTGCATTGTGAACACTGTGCTGTACAGGACATATTTCCCATTACTGGACACTATGCTGTGCTCTATGCTGCTTGCCTAACACATCAGCACACTTTTCACTGTGCAGTACATTGAATACTCCTTTCTGAACACAGGGCTCCGAACTGCCACCCTCTGTATGCTGTGATATATGTTACATACTCCGCTCTGCCCCACTGTATACACTGTGCTATACTTTACACTACTGGACTCTGTACACTGTGCTTTATATTACATACTTTACACTTCTACACTTGTTACACTGTGCTTTGTTATATACTCCACACTTTGCATCATGCTCCACATTGTAAATCCATAATCCTATATACTGTAAAGTGGAGCCAGTATCTTCCTTCCTTCCTTCCTTCCTTCCTTCCTTCCTTCCTTCCTTCCTTCCCTTTCTTCCTTCCTTTCTTCCTTCCTTCCTTCCTTCCTTCCTTCCTCCTTCCTTCCTTCCTTCCCCCTTCCCTTTCTCCTTTCTATCCTTTTTTCCCTCATTCTTCCTTCCCCTATTTGCCTTTCTCCTTTCCCTCATATGTCTTTTCCCTTCTTTTTCTTTTCTTTCCCTCCATCGCATTCCCTCTCCCTCTCCTCCTACTCTTCCGCATTTCTTCCTCTCCTCATCCTCTTCATCTCCCTTTCATCTCCCCTTCCTCTCCTTTTCATTTCCTCCCCTCCTCATCTCCCCTTCATCGCTTCTTCCTCTCCTCTTCATCTCCCTTTCATCTGCCCTTCCTCTTCTCTTCCTCTCCTCTTCATCTCCTCGTCGTCTTCTCTTCACTCCTTTTCTTCTGTTCTTCATCTTCTCTCCTCTTCCACTCCTCTTCATCCTCTCTTCTCTTCATTTTCTCTTCCTCTCCTTTTCATCTCCTCTTCCTCTCCTCTACCTCTCCTCTTCATCTCCCCTTAATCTCCTCTTCCTCTCCTTTGCTTTCCTTTCCATCTCATCTCGTCTCCTTCTCGTCTCCTCTTCCTCTTCTCTTCATCTCCCTTTCATCTCTCCTTCCTCTCCTTTTCATCTCTCCTCTCTCTTCCTCTCCTCTTCATCTCCTCCCCTCTTCATCTTCTCTTCATCTCTCCTTCATCGCCTCTTCATCTCTCTCTCCTCTTCCTCTCCTCTTCATCTCCCTTTCATCTCCCCTTCCTATCCTCTTCATCCCCTCTTCCTCTCCTTTTCATCTCCTCTTCCTCTCCTCTACCTCTCCTCTCATCATCTCCCCTTAATCTCCTCTTCCTCTCCTTTCCTTTCCATCTCATCTCGTCTCCATCTCGTCTCCTCTTCCTCTCCTCTTTCATCTCCCTTTCATCTCTCCTTCCTCTCCTTTTCATCTCTCCTCTTCTCTTCCTCTCCTCTTCATCTCCTCCCCTCTTCATCTTCTCTTCATCTCTCCTTCATCGC